ATAACGCATAAATAATGACCACATTGACTCTAAATGACGTTCTCGAGAAGCATTTTTGAAGTAAATCGCTCACGTCTTTCTTTGTAATTACCTATCAAAAAACAAAAACATAAAAAAAATTCAGAAATAAAATTACTTCTGATACGTAATTCTAAGCACGTTCCGTAATTAAAGTGACCTAAGCACGTTTCTAATTGTTGCGTAAACAATAGATAGTAATAATAGATTTTCGGCCATTGTCGAAGCGTTTTTTGTTCGGTGCTATCGAATGCGAGATTCTTTATTGAAAATAAGTTTAATGAGTAAGTTAAAGTACATTTTTATTGTATAATTATATTAATTGTTCTATAAGTTGTCAAAAATATATATAAAAACATAAAATTAAAAGTAATTTTCGATCAGATATTTAAAAATTCGAATAGAATATCATAAAATGATAAGAACGGCGTATGTATTCAGTGCCATTCACAATATTTAACTTTGCATTCATTTTCTGCACGAGACAATTATTGCATTAAACGTATTTTCTTCAAGTAAATAACAATTTATTATTTCCTTTCCGCATCTTATCCAATTTCTCAATATTGAATTCCATTAATAAATATCCAGTCATTTACTTCACCGGGAATAACTCTTCAATAAACAATATTGCATATGAATTATTGATTTTAGGATTGTAACATTTTTCACCTTCCACGCAATTAATAATATCAAATCACAATGTACTATTTATAACAGAAATAAATTGACTTTTGCTAAATTTTTAGTTTTATTTTTGTCGATTTTCAATGGAATAAATTTCCGAAATATGTTTTCACGATAAGAATTTCATCTGTTTATTTGACTAAACTGTTTGTCATTTCCTTTATTTTCCTCTTTTAAATTCTTATATATAATTATCAAATTCACGCGAAAAAACTTTTACGAATTGCTGTGTTTATTGCATTTACTTTTATTCTCTAGGTTGTGATTATAAAATGGATTCTCATAATACAAGTGAACACCCCGCGTGTCAAAATGACGTTGGGGTGGAAGATTATTTTAAAAATATAGTAAATGCAATGATTCAACTGACGTCTGATATCAATGCAGATTTTCCGGAAGAAACAGAATTGTCTTCTTCTGTAAGTTCAATTGAAAATAATTTAATAATTCTCATTATCTAAAGGTTTAAAACTGAAAAAACACAACACGAGAAATGCACAATTTATAAAAAGTGTTGTTTGTAATGGCTGCAAATTTTTTATTAATTAATAAATGATTTTTTTCGAGTAATAAAAGAACATTTCGACTACTGTAAGATTATTCTATCAGGAATGAAAACTTTTTTACTTTTTACAGGATTCCGATGAAGAAGAAAAGGGTGATTTCTGGTTTCTGGAAACTACTAGTTGTGAAAACAGACCTTTGAAGAAAGAGTTTTTATTTTTAGAGAAGCATTCATTGGTCAAAAAGATAATATATGAGGAAAATGAAGACGATGACGTCAGTATTAAATTGGATGAAGGTGAGGTTACAAACAGATTATAAAGAATTATAAAATAATTTGTTAAAAATTATTAAGAAATCTTTTAATGTTAAACTCATTCTTAATTCAAATTTTAATAAATTTATTAAAATTATAAAACTTAATATTAGTTATTTATTTGCAGTCTTTTACGTTTGTTGTATGTCGTAGTTTATTATATTTGAAACAGTTCAAAAACAGATCATTAATTTCTACAAAGATTCCATTTATTTCTTCAAAAACACTTTTGATAATGATATTTGTTAGTGTTTAACTAACAATTTCAACCACATTATATAAATATTCAGCAGTAAACATGATTAATTAGGAGTAAACCAACAAATAAAATAATTGCCACAAACACGACCTTAACATTGACAGAATCATTCATTGTCTTGGTCAATTCACGTATGAAATTTGATTGAATATTAATTTATCGTCCTTCAAAGTATATGTCGAAAAATTTCCAATGATTTTAATACAATTGAATGAATTTTATTCTTCTGTCTGTCATAATATTTGAATCGGGTCACATTTGACCTTCGACGTTTTTGGAATGGTTGTGACACCTCCATACAGAAAAAGTAAAGAAACGAAATATGTGTGTGTGTACTCACGTCTGTTTCATTTAATACCTGTGGATAGGTAAACATTACAAACAGAAATTTGCACGGTAACTTGTTTAATAAGAGATATCGGTAAGAAATTCGATTTGACATTTACTTACATAGTAATTATATTGTATTACCTCACTGTTTACACAATAATAC